TCCTGGTGCTGCTGAGCAGCTGCTGGAGCCCAGCAGCCAGCTGGCGCCTCACCCTGCCACCTTGGCACTGGTCATAGAGTATGGCAGTCAGTCAGGGACAAAATGGTTTGTCTTTGTAAATCACAGCATGGGTTGGGGGCCCTGCTGAGGGCCACATAGGACCCTGGGCTTTTCACAGACCATTGATTCCAAGCTGGGCTTGGCAGTTTATGTCTGGATCAGGCTGTGAGCTGTCAGGCCCTGGCCCGTCCTCTTCCCTGCCCCAAACCTCTGTACAGGCTTTGTCTTCAGAGACAGAGCTGTGGGTACCCAAGGGGCTTTGACTGCTGAGTCATCAAGTGTGTGATCTGAGATGGGTTTGAGCCCTGGTTAGGGCTTTTGCTAGGACCTGCCCTCCCCCCACAATGAGTCTGTGCCTTAGCCCCTCCCCAGCTGCAAGTGAATGCCTTGCCCAGTATCCCCAGATGCCATCCTGGGTCCAGTCTAGCCCTTGGAGCCAGCTCTGCAGCTTGCTACCCAAGCCCGCCTACTCTGCCAAGGGACATGCCTGCCTCTGGAGCCCCCACTCCTGGCCAACAGTTCTCACCACCCACTCTTGCAGGCTATGAAGAGACCCTGACCCGCCTGGCTGCCATCCTTGCCAAACACTTTGCTGACATGCGCATCGTGGGCACTGGTGAGGTGCCCTGCAGGGGGCTGGGGATGGGATGGCACCTCTTGCAGGCTGTTTTCTATACAAAATGGGGCCAGGTGGGCATGCTGCATGGGGCCAGGACTCATGCCAGGCACTGGCTGAGGCATGGCCTGTCCCAGCAGACATCCGAGACTCACTGATGCAGGCCCTGGCCAGCTATGTGTGCTACCCACACTCGCTGCGAGCCGTGGAGCGGATTCCTGAGGAGCAGTGAGTGGGGTCCCTGGGGGGCCACACACCCTGCCCTGCATAGCACCATGCCCAGTCTTACCCCACATTGCCACTCATTGCCCTAATAGGCGTATTGCCATGGTGAGGAATCTCTTGGCACCCTATGAGCAGCGGCCCTGGGCCCAGACCAACTGGATCCTGGTGCGGCTCTGGAGGGTAAGCCCGACCTGAGGGGAGGTGTCTGAGGCTGGTGGAGGGAGAGGTTGCCCTGCCCCACTGACCCCCGCTGACCCTACCTCCAGGGTTGTGGGTTCGGGTACCGCTATACACGGCTTCCACATCTGCTGAAAACCAAACCTGAGGACGCCAATTTGCCCAGCCTCCAGAGTGAGTATCCAGGTTGGGCAGGACCTGGCAGTAACCTGGGCAGGGAAGGCTGGTTGCCTTTTCCCACTGCTCTTGGGTTCTTTCAGACTCTTTCACTTCTTCCAGCCTCTCCTCTGGTCTCCTCTTGGGCCCCAGACACCTTGCCTGTCTCCTGGGGTTTCCATTTACGCTGCTTCCTCCCAGCCTAAGAACGCTCTGGGACTACTCCCCCGGGCACCATAGTCCCATATATGCCCTTTAGGCCTGAATAAAATAAAAGACAAAATTATCTCTGTTGGCAGATATGATGTTGTATGTAGAAAACCCTAAAGATTCCACACAAAAAAATTTAGAATAAACAAATTCTGCATGGGTCACCATGACAAGGGACAACACCTTTCCAGGCTGCTGGCAACTCATACAGAGTGGCCACTGTCCCTTGCCCTCTGAGCCAGCTCCCTCACCTCCAGCCTAGTCCTTTGCTGTCTGCTGGTGCCAGACCCAGGGCTTGGCTTAGGCCTTGGACACCTGAGTCAAGGTGGGGGCACAGACTGGAGGTTGGCCAGGGCCCCAGAGGGTATTCATGGAGCTTCCTGGAGTAAGGAGCATCTGATTGGGAGCAGAGCCTAGGCTCTCTTTCCTGGGTCTGGCAAAGTTTTGTAGGCCTGGCCCAAGGTCTGGGGCTGTCTGGCTTGCAGAGCATCTCCCACACACTGTACTCACCCTGCACGGTGGCTCTCCTTGGCCCATGTGGTATGTTTCTGCCCTAGTGGGCAGTGTTTTGGTGTGAAGGGTGTCTCCAAAGAGGCTGAGTGCCTTGTGCAAAGTCATACAGCAAGTCCTTGCCAATTGCCTTGGTCCTGCCTCTAGGAAGGAACTGAGCTGCAAGTGGAAAGTGGCAGTGGGGCCAGATCCATGTCCTGCTGCTGCAGGAACTATTGATTTGCATCAAGAGGGGTGGGAGGTATGCCAGGCGAGCTGCGGTTGAGGGATCTGGTTACTGCTGCCCGCCAGCCCAGACTTGGAGCCTACGACCTCAGCCATATGCCAAGGCCAGGCCAAGGACAGCAGAGGACAGTAGAGGACAATACAATACAAGAGTAGACTCTTGGAGAAGCTGCCCTTGATACCTGTGGGGAAGGGTCTATGTTACCCTGTCTAGGTCTGACCCTAGCTGAAGGGCGTGTGAGCCAGAACTTCCTGGGGGTCAGGCTGGGGCTGCGCATTTGCTCTAGGCCTATGGTGATGGTGTGGTGTGGTGTTTAGGAACAATTGCAGCCTGTGGCTTGCCCAGCAGAGAAAGAGGACAGATTTAGCACTAAGTCCCAGGTAGTACTGCACCCTGTCCCCCGCCTTCATGACCTGTGTGTTCCCAGGGAGCCATCTTTCTGTTCTTACATCAGTGGCCCAATGGGCGAGGACACAGAGGCAAACAGGTGGGGGTCACTACACTGGTGTTCCTGATGATGCCACCTCCTCGTGCCCCTGCAGAGCCCTGCCCCTCCACCCTGCTGCAGCAGCACATGGCAGACCTGCTGCGGCAGGGTCCTGATGTGGCACCCAGCTTCCTCAACAGCGTTCTCAATCAACTCAACTGGGCCTTTTCTGAGTTCATCGGCATGATCCAGGAGGTGGGCTGTGATGGGGCCTTGTGGGTCAGAGTGGTGCAGGGGACAAGGCATGGTCCTGGGATGTAGGCAGGCCACTGACTGCTGCCTGCCCACATGTTGGTGGCTCAGATTCAGCAGGCTGCTGAACGCCTAGAGCGAAACTTCGTGGACAGCCGGCAGCTCAAGGTATGTGCCACCTGCTTTGACCTTTCGGTCAGCCTGCTGCGAGTCTTGGAGATGACCATCACACTGGTGCCTGAGATATTCCTTGACTGGACCCAGCCTACCTCTGAGATGCTGCTACGGCGTCTTGCACAGGTGTGTCCATCTGGGCAGGGAGGGTGGGATCCTGGGGATGCACCAATGGCAAACCTGCCCATCCACCAACAGGCTTCTGCCCTCACAGCTGCTGAACCAGGTGCTGAACCGGGTGACAGCTGAGAGGAACCTGTTTGACCGTGTAGTCACCCTACGGCTGCCTGGTGAGGATCTAGATGCCCTGCACCCCAACACACTACAGGCCCTGGTTCCTCTTCCAGGAGCAGTGATGCCTGATTTTCCGTACTGCACTGGGACAGCCAGGCTCAGCGACCCCCCAGCCTCAGCTCACCCTTCTGGAGGGAGAACAGTGGGAAGGGTGTATGGCATCAGCCGGGTCCGGAGCCCTTGCAGAGGGAGCATGTGGGTGGCTCATCTCTTTCCTTCCCTTCCTCTAGGCCTGGAGAGTGTGGACCACTACCCCATTCTGGTGGCAGTGACAGGCATCCTGGTACAGCTTCTGGTGCATGGCCCAGTTTCAGAGTGAGTGTTGGGGACTGTGGGAACTGCATGTATCGGATGAGGAGAGGCCGGGCAGGGCCTCCCTGTACCTCAGTTTCCTAATCTCAAAAATGGACTTCTGTATCTGGTTTTGAGGCAGAGGGGAGGAGGTGAGGTGTGAACTGAATAAATAGGTGGGGGTACCAGCAGCTGCTCTGGGTAGGAGAATCAGGGAACCCAGCAGGACAAGATGTCCCGGCCCACAGAGCCACTGGTTTGTGGCCATGCTTCAGGCAGGGGCATGGGAGCCAGGAATCCAGGGGGGTCTGCCAGCCTTTGATGGCCAGGGCAGCACTGCTGGATCAAGAGCTGAGCACACACAATGCTACCTGCATTTGTGAAGTCTCCAGCAATGAGCGTGTACTGCCTTTATTAAGAAACTCCATAACAGCTGGGTCCAGGACCCAGCTCAGCCCCCACATATGGGGTTCCCAAACCCCCCTTCCCCACCTCCCTGAAGCAGGAGTTGTGAGATGCATATGAAACCAGGGCACTGTCTCATCCATTAGGCTGAAACCAGTGCCAGCCCTTAAGAGGCTTCTGCTCTCAGGGGACATTAAGTTCCGGCTTGGCCCTCCCAGGTTGGCCATGTTCATGAGGCTTTTTACTGCTGAAAAGTGGAGGGCATAGGCCCCTGACTGCTGTCTCTTGAGCCCATGGAATGAGCTCTGCCTTCAGAGTGACCTCTGGATGCCCCTGGCTAGAGATAACAAGGTCACTCTGGCTGTGGCCCAGGCTAGGCCCTCAGGTGGTCTCTGGAGGAGCCTTGCCTGCCTAATACCTGCCCACCAGCCTCTGCATGAAGTTGTGAAGCTTACAGTAGGTTGGATGTTGATGGATGGGGCGGAGTGCTATTTCACCAGAGGGAGGGCTTGTTTTCTCCTTCCGTCCTGGGGGTGGGGCTAGGTCTTCCTTCAGAGCCCTCCTCCTCTTCCCCTGTGGGCCTTCTCCCTCCCTCCCTGGCCCCTAGGGAAGGGGAAGGTGGTTATGTTTCAACTCTTCAGAACCACTCCTTGACAGTTGCCTCGGCCCCTGCGGGTGAACCTGGGGCTCTAAAGCAAGGGCTCTTCCAGATGGGTCTCAGTCCCCAATCCTCATGGGGGCATGTGGGCACTAGCGGGCCCTGGCAGGACCTGAGGCCTTTGGGTCCTGTGCTGGGCAGAGCAGGAGGCAATTGGGGATCTCCAACCCCATGTATGGCCTTTTGGTTCAAGTCAAGGCCCCCACATGAGGGTGGGGGACCAGGCACAGTGCTTAAGCATCTGGCAGTTCTCTGTACCACAGCAGGGAGCAGGGCAAGCAGCAGGAGAGTGGTGGCTTGGGTGGGGGCTGTGGGCAGCCTAGGTCATCATGAGACCCTCAGAGCTTGTGGAGCTAGCAGACTCTGAGCCAGCCTTGAGTCGTAGGCCCACCCGGTTGCAGAGGTCGAAGTCCTCAGCTACTGCCAGCTGCACGCGGCCATTGAGGCCCCTCCTGCCCGGCTCCAGAAAGACCACGTGCTTGTGGACACTGGCCTTGCGGCTGAGTGCGTCTGGCGGTGTGGGACTGAACACCGAGGACTGTGCGCTCAGTTCCTGGAGCGGGCTGGGTGCTCGGGGCCGGCGGCAGCAGCGGCAGCAGCAGCGGCAGCAGCCGCGGCAGGGCGGTGCAAACAGGTAGAGCAGGACGAGCACCAGGCCCACAGCACAACCCAGCAATGTGGTGAAGCCTGTGTTGAAAGCCTCGGGCTCCTGGCGCGGAAAGTGCACGCTCACGTTGTACTCGTGCGTCTGGTTGTGGTGCAGGCGGGGCCCGGTTGCCAAGCACACGAAAACGCCGGCATGCCGTTCCTGCACGTTGTCTATGGCCAAGCTACCGTCGGCCAGCACCACGATGCTGCCGTCGCGGGATCCCGGCGCCACGATAAGCTCATGCTGCGGCGAAACCCAGACAGTATGCACTGCTGGGACGCTGGTGTTGCAGTGTAGCCTCAGGGACCGCCCCACCTGCAAGTGCAGCTGCTCCTCGGGCCGCTCTAGGCCACGAGCTGGGGCAGCCGAGCAGTTCTCGAAGACTCGGCTGTGCTCGAAAAAGCGCACGCGGGACGCGGACACCTTGAAGGCCAGGCACATGTACTCGCGTGCAAAGTCGCGCACAGCGCTTAAGCCCCGCTGGTGCCAGCGCTGCAGCAGGTGATAGAGGCGGCAGTCGCAGGGCAATGGGTTGTTGTGCAAGTAGAGGCCATTCTTGAGGAAGGCCGGTAGTGCGGCCAGTTGAGGTACGGAGATGCGTCCCAGCCGGTTGAAGGAGAGGTCCAGAGTATGCAGATGGGTCACGCCCAGACCGTGCAGGTGGTCGAAAGAGAAGGAGGCGAGTTCGTTGTAGCCCAGATAGAGGCAACTGAGCGTGCTCACGCCGTGGAAGGCATGCTCGTCCAAGTGCGCCAAGCGGTTATTGAACAGAAGCAGTGTCTCCAGCGCCCCCAGTCCGTCGAGGTCATGGCGGCCAAGCGCCCGCAATGCATTAGATGACAGATCAAGCAGCCTCAAGCCGCTGGCATTGGTGAAGACGCCGTGACCCAATGCAGCCAGCTCGTTGTGGCCTAGGCGCAGGTTGCGCAGCCGGGAGAGGGGTGCCAACCAGCCGGGGCGCAGGCTCTGGAGTGCGTTGTGGCTCAGGTCGAGGTCCGCAGCAGCGGCAGGTAACACGGCCGGCACGTCCTGCAACCCAAGGCCTGCACAGCTCAGCAGGTCGGCAGCACAGACGCATTTGTAGGGGCAGTTGTGGGGCGCAGGGGGCAGAAAGCTCTCGGAGTCCGGGGTACCTAATCCGACGCGCAGCATGCACAGCAGTGCGCCCAGCAGCACTAGCCAGGCCATGGCGGCGGCCACCAGGGTTGGGACAGGGCAGTTTTGTGCAGGTCACAGCTGCAGCACTCACCCACTTCTGTGCTGGTTCGATGTGCGTGGCACCGGATGGCTCACGGCCGAGGAGGCACGATGCGGGCTCAGCCCCGCACGGCCGACCGCTCCTTGTCTCCCGTTCCCAGGTTGTAAGGTGGGGTCGCGCCTCACTCAGCACTCCCTTCGGCGTCCCTAGCTCTCTCGGAGAGATTTTCTGGTCGGCTTCTAAATACTCGCCGGGAGGCTACGGCCCGGGGGCGGGGCCCCGGGCTCCCATTGGCTCCCCGTGCGGGGGGCGGTGCGGCGTGTCCCCTGGCACGCAAGGGTCTTGCGTAACCGCCAGAGGGGGCACGAGTGCAGCCCAATATCCCAGCCTGCCCTTGGCCGGCAGCTTTCCGCAGCTCCCCAAGGAGTAAAAGGGGAAGTTTGGGGAAATGTCTTTAAGCTGCTGCTAATGAACTTTGTATTTATTTGAAGTGATTTTGAAAAGTTAATATATTATGGAGGAGGGGAACTCTCACTAATTGTGGCTCCTCAGGGCCCCCTTAAACTGGTACCCTGGCTATTTGGAACTTTAATGGGATCCAGGACCTACAGGGGTGTTGAAACAGGGAGATGAAAGGATGAAGGGGGCAATGATGCAAGTGCTCTGGATCGTAATGCCAGATCCTCCCACCCCACCCCTTATAGAGATTAGGATGAGCCCCAAACTTCTGACTACCCTTGCACCCTCCCCTACCTAGGACAGAGCGAGCCACATCAGTGCTCCTGGCTGATCCCTGCTTCCAGCTTCGCTCTATATGCTACCTCTTGGGGCAGCCAGAGCCCCCAGCACCTGGCACTTCCCTGCCTGCCCCTGACCGGAAGCGCTTCTCCCTGCAGAGCTGTGAGTGGGCCAGGGGCGGGTTAGGGAAGAGATTTGGGTCAGGAGCCTGAAGAAGCGCAAATTCCCAGACTGGGAAATACGCAAGAGACAGCAGGTTCTAGGACCACATTTCGCCTGACACCATCTACCCTCCCCAGATAAAGATTACATCAGTGCAGAGGAGCTGGCCCAGGTGGAACAGATGCTGGCACACCTGACCTCTGCGTCTGCCCAGGCAGCAGCTGCCTCCCTGGTGAGTGGGGCCACAGCATGTGGGCCTACAACCCTTGGTAGCCAGAGTGTATATCCACACATCTGGGCATCCAACCCCAGCCTACCCTTCACCCTCCTCCCTACAGCCCACCAGTGAGGAAGACCTCTGCCCAATCTGCTATGCCCACCCCATCTCTGCTGTGTTCCAGCCCTGTGGCCACAAGTCCTGCAAGTAAGTGGGCCCCATGGACTTGGCAGGGGGAAGCAGTGGGGATACACAGGGCAGTCTTCATCCCCTCCCCTGTCGTAGAGCCTGCATTAACCAGCATCTGATGAACAACAAGGATTGCTTCTTCTGCAAAGCCACCATCATGTCTGTAGAGGACTGGGAGAAGGCAGCCAATACAAGCACCACCTCTTCAGCTGCCTAGCCCATGTACCCTGCACCATCTTGGAACCTCCCCTGAACCCAGACCGAGGCTTGGCCCTATTTATGAGCTGTACCCTGCACCATCTTGGAACCTCCCCTGAACCCAGACCGAGGCTTGGCCCTATTTATGAAATCCCTTTGCCCTGTCCCCCACCCTGTCCAACCTCCTTCTTGCCTGTATGTAGCTTCCATTGGTTGGAGCCCAACCATGGCCCTAAGTGTGCCTGAGCTTGACTTTCAGTCGGGGCTACAGTGAGCATTAAATTATTATTCCATAAAGCCCTGGCCCTTCTTGAGGGAGTGGGGTTTGTGGGGTGGGCCCAGCAGGAATCCTGCCAGTTTATGTCCATGAGAAAGGGCAGGTGTCCAACAGTTTTGGCCTTATCCAATCCCTCCCCGACACATGGCAACAAGTCCAGGGTTTTCTGATGTGCCAAGCCAGTGATCTCCTTGCCGATGGGGGAAATGGGGGTTTGGCCAGCCCCATGGCATCCCTTCACATGATGATGCGAGGCTCCGGTACTGATTCGCCAATAGATTTGTGAGGCAGTACATTGGCTCCATTGAGGTAGAGCTCGTCGTTAACTATGACGTCCTCACCCAGCACTGTCACATTCTCCATGCGCACCTTGGGTGAGAGAATAGGCCTTACCAGTGAAGCAGGTGCATTCCCTGCCCGCTCCCTACCTGTCCCAGCCCACAGGCTTACCCACTGGCCAACACGGCAGCGCCAGCCTACAATGCAGGACTCAAGCCAGGAGTGAGAGCGGATGTGGGCGTCCCGTAGCACTGTGCACCGCCGGATGCACACACCATCCTCTACCACCACACCAGGACCCAGAGTCACATTGGGGCCAATGCTGCAGTTCTGGCCAATGCAGGCACTTGGGTCCTGAGAATGGTGGGGAAAATACAAGTTGGCCACTTGTCTCCCAAGACCGAGGGGATTAATGATGGGCTGGGCAAGGGCCTCACCACCAGCACGTTGCCCACAATGCCAGGGCCTGAGCACAGTCGCTCAGGCTGCTTCTGCCTCAGTGACTGCAGGAAGAGGCACATGCCAGTGAGGAAATCCTTGGGCTGCCCAATGTCCATCCAAAAGCCTGTAAGGAGGGATGCATCAGGAGGCTCAGCCCAGCCACAAACTACCTCCCCCCTGTGGCCTCCCTGCCTCACCCTGCAGCTCCATGGCATATAGCTGCCCCTCCTTGGCCATAACAGGGAAGACCTCCTTCTCAATGGACGTGGGCTGCAGCTGTGGGAGTGGGCAGCTCGTGAGCAGGGTCATGGCAGTGATGGCCTGCCCCACCCCAACCCACCCAGCAGCTGTCTCCTACACACCTGGATGCGCTGCAGCACCGCAGGGCTCAGGATGTACATGCCTGCATTGATCTTATTGGACACAAACACCTGCGGCTTCTCCACGAACCGGTGAATGCGGCCTGTGTCAGCCTCACACACCACCACACCATACTTGGAAGGTTCTTCCACCTTAGTCACCTAAATGCAGGGGGACCTCGGGCCTAGTCCAGTGTTCCTGAGTCTTGATATCCAGGCTGTCCCAAGTCCCAAGGACTGTGACCCAAATGCTTAAAGATACATACTGCACAGCGCTGTACCCATAACATAAGAAGGTAATTCAAGGCTAGAGGGGCTGGTTCAGTTAGCTCAGTTGGTTAGTGCATGGTGCTGATAACACCAAGGTCCAGGGTTCGATCCCTGTACTAGCCACCTGCCCAAAAAAAAGGTGGAGGGCAGGAGCGGCTAGGCATAGGAGGTGGGAAGTGGGAGGATGCGAGGTGGGAGGTGGGAACCTCAAAGGAGAGGTAAGGCCTGGTTCCTTACCAGGATGGAGCCCTCCTGGCCATGGTGCCGGTGGAACTGCACCATGGCTTGGAAGGGGAAATCGCAGATCACATCACTGTTGAGGACAAAGAAAGGGTCTGCAGTCTCAGAGAGCAGGTCGCGGGCCAGCGCCAGGGGTCCAGCTGGAGGAAGGGGACAGGTCACCTCCTTGCTGGGAGTCTGAATGCATGGATACAGGCGCAACAGGCCCCATCCAGACTGGGTCTTACCCCTTTCCTCGCCCTAAACCCTCCCCTGAGGACCTTCTTGTCTACTGACCTGTCCCCAAAGGCTCCTCTTCATGGGACATGGAGATTCGGATTCCCAGCTGCAAGGGGGAAGCCACCCCATCAGGTTCTCCCAACAGGGTGGAAAGTTGAGCAGGGACCAAGGGAAAGGGCCGATAGTCCACGCCTCACCCTCTGCTCCTGCGCCTTCATTTCCTTCTCCAGCACCTGAGACATGTAACTTACGGCCAGGATCACGTGATCCACGCCTGCCTGTCGGACAGAAAAACGCGCCCGGGCCCAAAGGCGGGCTCAGCCTGAAGATAAGGGCTCCCCTGACCCCAGTCACTAGCCGTACCTCGTCCAGCCAGGGCAGACCCCGACCGCGGGTCTTACCGCGACCAGCGCCTCCACTTGGTGCATCAAGATGGGCTTATTGCAGAAATCCACCAGTGGTTTCGGGGTGCTCAGCGTCAGCGGCCGCAGCCGCGTCCCATATCCGCCCACCAAGATCAGTGCCTTCATAGTGCCTGCGGGCGACAGGAAACTGAGTTCTGGGCTCCTAGGTACCTGAAGCCTACTTGGACGACCCGCCGCACTGCCCGGCCCCGCGCCTTTCACCAGCCAGACTGACCGACTCTGGTTCCACCTCGTCCGCCCGGTCTGCCCTGACGCCGGATCCAGGGCCGCCGCAACCCAGGACACGACGCAGGGTGGAGAGCTGCGGGCCCCGAACTCAGGCCGGCCCTGGCGCGGCAGTGACGTAACCCCTGGCGGGCCAATCGACTGCCGTATACGTGGCACGGCCGCCGGCGTCGCAGCGCTGAGACGAGGCGCCGCGGCCGACTTAGCCAATGAGAGCCCGAGCGCGCCGGGCTGCCATGGGGACCGGGACCCAGACCCGCGGGTCAGATATCCATTGGCAGATCCAAAGGCGGAACTGGCGCCAAGAGCGAGGCCTCATTCCATTCTGGTGCCAAGGTACGTCACGGTGCGGCCTCTTCCAGCCCCGCCTCGCCCACCTAGTGCTCCGCCCCGGGGAGGAGACGAGGGAAGGGACCCGAGTAAGTGAGGTGGGGTTATTAGCCGTGCCAGGACAGCCTACCCGGAAGCCGCGGGAGTCTCACAAAGACGCAGACAAACCTCAGTTTGTAGCGGCTTTATTTTAACGTACATGACCTCAGACACAAGCGGGGCGGGCAGCGCTAGGTGTACAGAAAGGGCGGGCTCGGCCCGAGCACCCCCTCCCTTACACGCAAGGTCCCGAGGAAACGCAGCTGTGCCGAGATGTGACTGGAGCCACGTGGAGTATCCGGAACAGGCCTCGGGCGGTGCGGACAGGCTTAGCTTCCAAGAAAGAGTAGAGAGCGATTCCCAGAACATGAGGTCTTACTGTTCCCAAAGCAAAGGAACCAGGTCCTTCTCAGGGTTCTCCTCCCCTTTTTCTTTCATTAAAATATTTTTTAAATCAACACAAACATAATCAAATTGTACAGCTTTAAAGTTCAAAGCAAACTGCATCTAGGGAGCGTGCACGTGGCCAGCTGTGAGCGCATATGCAGCGGCTACTGACTAGCCCAGGCCCCTTGGTGGGAATTCCCACTGCATAGGCCCAGAGTCCCTAGCAAGTTGCTGCACTGGTCCACTTTCTCTTTAAGAAAAAAAAAGCCCCTCTCACTTTATACCTGCCCCGCCCCCAGGGGGCTGGTGTCAGCTTGGCCCAGGGAAGCACTATAGAGAGGGGTCACCTGAGTGCCCCAACCCATGATCCCACTTTGCACTTTGGTCCCAAGTTGGGGCTGGGAAGGCAGAGCCTGGCAGGGGCGGCATAAAGTGTGTGCACACACACTTATCCACCACCCATCAGATAACAGAACTGGGTCTGCAGGTGTCAAAAGTGCTGAAAAAAGGGGCCCTGCTCTAAGGGGAAAGCAGCAAATCCCAGGCCTTCCCCACTCTTTTTAATGCCAGGAAAACATTGAACCTAAGTGGGTACAGCCTCTCTCACTATGAGGAGCAGCAGAAAGGGGCAGCATCTGCTCCCACAATCTAAGAACTTGGGAGGCACAGAACATACCCAACAAGTGGCCTCAGACCCTTCTGTTTTATCTTCTACACTGCCAGGGAATGACTACTACACTAAGGAAGAGCTACTGCCTCCCATGGCTGAAGCCAAAGAATGTTACAGGAGAAAGGATGGTCATTACTGACCAGAAACAGGCAAGCTGCCCTTCCCAGCCCCAAGGAATGGGAACCTGCCCACCACTGGCACCAGGGTCAGAGGGCTGAGAGAGAGAGGATCCATTTAGGAGCCCATTTAAGAAGGTGCATCTTAGAGACCATGAAATTAGTCCACCAGTTACCAAGGCGTCTCACAGACACAGGCTGGCAGGTCACCTTTACTGCCAAAACAGGGACATGCCAAAATGACAATGACAGTGGCCCTAGGCTTGGAGAGGGTGCTAACCTTGTCAATGGCTGAGTGCCGTGTCACCTCCTGTCCACCTGTGTTAGAGGCAGCAGGTCTCTGTGCCATTAAGGGTTGGCAAAAAAATGACTAAACCATGGGAAAGGGTTACCCCTTGAGCCTTCACTGGCCCACTGTCACATGTTGAGGGCCATACTCCAGGCCCAAGGAAGGTTGCTGGGCCAGCAGAGGCACACCACCTACAATTCGCTCTGCTACTAGGGCTTATAAAAAGGCAACACCTGCTGAGGAAGGGCACAGAGGCTAAAGCTCTCCTCAGAGATGAGAAAGAATATTTTGCGGAGGAAAGCATGAAGAAAATCAATATATGTATAACAATAAAGAAGGTTACACCCCAGGGGAAGGATCCTAAGAGAAAGGAGTTGGCAGGTGGACAAATGGACAAACTGACAGATCCCACAATTAATCAGACAAAGCTCTCATTAGCAGAATCTGGGCACCAGCATCTAGGGCTCAGACAATGTCCCTATAAGCAGACTAGCTTAAAAGTTCCTCCAGACCCAGGGACTGGAGTGCCTCAATGGGCTGCTGCCTTGAGCTGGGCCTGGGGAAATGTGAGACCCTGAGTGGACCACAGCCCTTGAGCCCTGGGAGGAGCAGCCCATACAGAGGCAGCACAGCTGCCAAAACTAGAGGAGAAATACTCCCACCCACAGCATGAGAACTGCAAATACTGTCTGGGCCAGAGCCACCAGAGGCTCTGAGGCCTACTGGGACACTGACTCTCCTAGGCAAACAGAGCTGTACCCCCTTCAGCGGAGTAGAAGAAGGTGGCCTCCTTAGGCAAGGGATCTTGACGAGAGAGGTTGGCTGGGGTTGCGGGCAGAAGAGGAGCAGGTTCATGTGCCAATGGGTGCCTGGGGAACCCAAGGCCTGCCCTCTGCCATGAGTTGGCTTCAGCTCAGCTTCATAAATCTAGTCCCTTATCAAGGTCAGAACCAAGAAAGATGGGATCCAGCTGTGTGCAGTCAGTCCTGTGACATCTGTTAAAGAGCTGGCTGAAACCCACAGCACAAGACTGGAAAGCCCCTAAGAGATGGGCCCCAAACCCCTCTGCTTCTGGGAACAAGGGATGAGTGGGCATGGAGGGGCCCTGCACCAGCCCAGGGCTTCCCTGCAGCCATAGACCCCCCCCCCAAAGACCTGGGCAAGAGAAACCAGTGTCCAAGGGCACTCTGTCCCTGCTGCCAAGCCCACCAGGGGCACCTCTTCCTAAGTCAGCCTGGACACAGCAGTCAGAGTCATAGAGCTAAGGAGCCTGGCTAAGAGGACATATGTTCTGCCCTCCTTCACTTTATATATATGGATTCCAGGCTACAGCTAAAAACATTTCTTTTAGTTTACACCAAAGAGAAATATAACCCTTTAAAAGCAAGTCTGTTTGTCCTCACGGCGAGTTTGGAGCAATGGTCCCTGCCTGCGGGTGGAGAGGAAGGGGTTCTGGGGGCCCAGTACTGGGCCTACTGGTTCTCGTCCCGCATCTGTTCCATGATGCTGATGAGGTTCTCTAGGCCGAACACATAGCCTCTATCTGGCCCGTCATGCACGGTGGGGTCATCTCGGAAGCCCTTGAACGTGCTGTGTGCAAAGTCAATCATGCGGACATCCACCTTGGGTGGAGAGGAGGCACCTGCCTCGGGGCTGGTGCTGCTGGGGCTGCTGCTGGGACCACAGGGTGCCACCACCTCAGAGAGCCCCATGTCCAGGTGCTTGAGACGCATCTCAGACCGGCGGTCCAGGCAGGACTCAGCTCGGCACTCCTTGCCATCATAGATGACAAGCAGGGAACTGGAGTAGAAGCGATAGGAGGCCTGCCGCTCCAGCACAGCTTTCAGGCCCCGCAGTTTGCTCAGGATAGGCTCAAAGAGGTCACATCGCAGGTCTAGGCCATTGTGCAGGTACTGATAGAGGGCATTGCGGAAGCCTTCAATGGAGAGCCCACGGCCATAGTATTTGTTCCTACAGAGGTAATGCCCTGTGTCCAGCTGGTATACCTGAAACCCCAGGAGACAGACAAGGTGAGTACCAGGGAAGTCTGACAACCTCATAGTACCCTGGGCAAGCACTGTCTGGAAGGTATTCTGACCAACCTGGGCTTTTCTGCTCTCCCCTCCAACTGGAGCACGACAGGCCACCTTCACCCTGGGGTTTCCCATCACAGAACCAAGAGAGAAAGAAGAGAGCCTATGGGTTCCTTGCCATCACCTTTAGAGCCCTTCTCCAAGCTGCCCTGGTGCTCAGCTGGACTCTAACTAGGAACATCTTGCTGATAGATAAGAGTCTTATTTGTTTCAACACTGAGGCAGAAGGCTGTCACAGTGGCCCTGCACCTGGAGCCCAGATCAAAGTCAACAGGTAAGGACAGGAGGGCTCAGGAAACACACTTGTAAGGACAACATGCTCAGTATCCTGTGGGAAACTCACCCTCTCAGAGGAGATTCCAGACTAATGTGGGCCAGAAGAGCACTTGGTATGGGTGGCAGGCAGGTATGGGCACAACCCAAAACATGTAAGCAGAAGCACCTAGGCTCACCTGCATGCCACAGACCCTGACACCCAGGGTAGCTGATGTGCTCTGCTCGCACTTCCTCATCTGCCGGGCCGCCTTCTCAGCTGATGCGTCATCACCATGCTGCCGGGTGCCCATCTTCAGGTCCAGCACGCAGGGATACTTGAAGTGGTGCACCACGTTCTCAAGCAGGAGGAACTCTGGGCCATGGTTAAGGAGAATGAACCGTACTCACCATCAGCCCCAGCCAGGAAAGCACAACCAATGTTTTCTATAAAAGGGGGAATTCTCTTCTAATGTAACCTGTATTCACCTCACAAACTCTCAAATGTGGGTTTTACACTGACATTTCTTAACAAAATTTTTGTGGTAAGATACATGTAACACAAAATTTACTACTTTAATCATTTTAAGCATCCAGTTCAGTTGCATTAAGTTCCTATTATTGTGCAACCATCACCACTAACACCCCATCTCCAGAACTTTTCCATCTTCCCAAACTGAAACTCTGTACTCATTAAACAGGAACTCCCCATTCCCTGTTTCCCCCAGTCCCTGGGAACCTCTATTCTACTGTCTCTATAAATTCACCTATTCTAGGAACCTCACATAAGCGGAATCATAATATTTTAGTCCTTTTATGTCTGGCTTATTTAAGTTAGCAAAATGTTCTCCAGGTTCATCTGTGTTATAGCTTGTATCAGAACTTCATTCCTTCTCATGGCTGAATAATATTCCATCTGTTGATGTTATTTTAATTTTTCTTTATATCTATCTTGCAGGCAACACACAAACTAAAGATTTGGATACATCCCGTCAGCTTATCATCAGTAAACCAAGGCCCCGCTCCACCAATCACCTCACCCAGGCCTAAGAAATAGGGAAGACATCTTTGCAGCACTACTACAAAGATGAGGAAATCAAATTCTAACATTTCCAAACAGGAATCTTTAGAAAAAGCTGGGCTAAGGGGCTGGCTGGTTAGCTCACTCAGCAGAGTGTGATGCTGACAACACCAAGGTCAGGGGTTCCTATCCCCCTACCAACCAGCCACCAAAAAAAAAAAAAAACAGAAGAAGCTGGATTTAAATTTCTATCTTGCCAATTTCTCACTAAATTTCAAACTGGTGTACTATACATTTAAACTTATCCCTTAATACTTCTAGGACCTTATGCTCAAAACAGCTCCATGACCCTAATCTCCTGGCATTTACATCCTCATCTTCATTCAAATATACTGTGTTGAACTTTTATAAAAGGTACTGGCTTATCACATGTCTGCCAAAAGTCACTGGGTCTCACAGCTCAGGCTTAAATCCATATTTGGGTGCTACAAAGCAATCACATCTTGGAGGATAGACACTCGGCATCGCTCTGATGATGAACATTTTAATACTTCCTAATCCTTTTAAAAGTAATTTACAGAAAACTATTTAAACTTGGCCTTTAATCAATGCTTTTGCCTTCTGTAACCTATAAACAAGTGATGATAAAATTTGAAGAATACTGCAGAAGTATCTTAACAGTGCCTGACAGCATGAACTCTTAAGTCTTGCTTTGGCCACTCACTAGCTCTGGGTACAATACTTAACTCTCTGTGCTTCCATTTCCTTATCTGTAAAATGGAAATAACAATAGCTCCTCCCTCAAAAGATTTCTGTGAAAGTTAACTGAATAAATACATAAGTGCTTGACACACTTCCGCTCAGTTTCTCAGGAAGCATTAGTTGTAATCTGTCTACTGCTTCAAAACACTAAACAATTATAAGAATTCTCATTCCATAATATTTTTTTAAGATCTTAAAAACTATTTCATGTTGGGGCCGGCCTGGTGGCGCACTGGATAGTGCGCCGCTTGGGAAGTGCGGCGGCGCTCCCGCCCGAGGGTTCGGATCCCACATACAGACCGGTTCCCGCTCGCTGGCTGAGCGAGGCGTGGGAGCAACACCGAGGGTTGCAATCCCGTTGCCGGTCCCCGGTCCAGTACGGGGGCAACACTGAGGGTTGCGATCCGTTGCCGGACACGGAAAAAGACAAAAGACAAAAAAAAAAAAAAAAAAAAAAAAAAAATTTTT